ATATATATATATATATATATATATATATATATATATATATATATATAATATTTATATTATTTATTATAATTATATATAAATAGCTCGTTGATTTAACTATATATTTTTACATAGGTAATTTTAATATAATACTATTATTATTTATTTATATATTTAAACTTTATTGATCAATAAAATGTGGCACAGAAGGCGGACTTAATACTATGGGCATTCTATACCAATCAACCTTTAGGATGTACAGAGTAACTCGATGGTGGTTTAAAAAAATACAATTATTTTCTTTTAAAAACCCTTATCTAGTTCTAAAAAAAGAGATAAACGTCTGTCAGTGTGCGAAATGATGGATGGATTTTTTTGCACATGAAATAAGGAATTTCTTAATACGTCATCGCTATAAAAAAAACAGAAACAGTGGTATTTAAATTAGTATAATAATTACAATGCATCACGATATAAGTAGTAGGCAGATAAAAGTAATTGCTTTCTACTGATTATTGACTAATTATCTATTTGACATACATATGATTTTGTTTGCTTGAGCTTAATTCCTTTAACCATGGAAATTTAATTATTTATTTATTTATTCTTTGCGATAGTAACACAATTAGATATAGGTACTAGAGGCAGGCGAGTTTTGTCTAAAGTCTCTTTGTGGTGTGGTTCTCGTTTATATTGAAATAGCTTTTTGTACGCGTGGATTTCAAAAGAATTATGATAACTAAATAAATAGATTACTTCTAGATAAAGTATCCAAATAAAACATACACCCAGATTTTAAGTTACTCTTTCAGAAACACAACTGTGAAAATCGCATTCAATTTGGCGCAGTAAAATTTGCATGATACCGGAACAATAATAGTCTAGTTACTATTTTATTGTATTAGTGGAAAAGAAACAAATGTTTCGCATAAATATGCGAACTTCATATTTTGTACAGTTTTGTTCATTTATTTTGTTCAGTAATTTTGGCTACTCAATTCAGTCAATCGCTTTCATCTTTTATATGTAAAATATATATATATATATATTTTTTTTTTTTTTATTATCAATAAAAATACAAGTTACAGAATTTATGTTCCATTAGCATTTAGAAACCACGTAGGTTTATATTAATACTAAATACATTAAAATTATTTAGATTGTATTAAAACCATGCAAGAAGTATCGTTTTAATTTACACTTGATGTTGCTAATAGTAATATTATCTCGTACATCGGTGGGTAGTTCATTAATAAATCGAGGAACCAGGTAGTCAGCCGTACGCTCACCATAACAGTTATTTACGCGAGCGCTATTGGTACAAAGTTGCTTCCGTGCGACCGCCCTCGTATATACAGCATGATTAATTTCGTTCCAATATTTATTGCTAAAAAAGTTTTCCTTAAGAAATGTGTATTTAAATTGTAGATGTACAGGTAAAATATTGCAATGTCGAAAAAGACCAGTATCATCGTCATAATACTGCATCTTAATTTTGGGAGATACAATAGTTCTTAAAATTCTACGTTGAAGTTTAAAAATATCATTTAAATATGTTTTATAAGTGCGGCCATAACTTGACAACCCATATTGAACATAAGATTCGACCAATGAATTATACAGCATCAGTTTTACTTTAAAGGGAATTCGGTGTCTAAGGATGACTATATTAGCTAAAAATTGTCTTAATTTGTTACAAATTTTTTCGATGTGTTTACTCCAATTAAACTTACTATCTATAGTTAAGCCAAGATATGTTTGGCTGTCCTTGACCGTTATAGCGGGGCAGCTGCAAAAGTTCCTTTCATTAGTTATATGTAATATATATATATATATATACATATATATATATATATATATATATATATATATGTATATATATAATCTATTATATATGTTATTATCATCATATAAGCCGTTAATTGTCCATAGCTACAACCTAGATCTCCCCTTATTGGGGGATTTGGGTTGTTGGGTTTTAGTGATGTTTAAAGAAAGACGCTGCTACCCATCTCTCGTTCTCCCTTAGTCGCCTCTAAGGGACACCCATGGGAAAGAGAGGGGTGGACCATTCTATGCTGGGACAACATGGCGCTAGGTATCTTTGTAGTAGGTTTACTTGTAATATATAATATACGTGATATTGATTTTATTTTCAACTGTCGGCAGTCAATTTGTAAATATTTATTGAAACAAACATTAGTTCTGATTGAAAATATAAAAGAAAACACAATGGAGCTTTTGAGGGCAATAGTAAACATTCAATTCCTTAACAATAGGCCGAAACAAGTTTAGGGTTACGAGTCGTTTGACCAATAAATATTGCGACGTACTTCTGTTAATTATTTTCACATTTAACGGATACCAGATTTGAACACATCTCGATTGGGTATCAAGATATAACAAATTTTAAGTTAAACCTTCAGAAATATATCTGTGAAAACCGCATCCAATTTAGTGCAGTGGTACTTGCGTGATACCAAAACAAACATATAGATAGTTAAAATATCTAGAAATTATGGTTTCGGTATCCAATTGTCTTATTTAAATCGATCATATTAATTTCTCTGAAATATCTTCCACGTACGTGTGGTCCCGGCGTAGATCAAGCCACCCCTTCCTTTCCTGTAATATTCGTGAGAGGCAACTCAGGGAGGGCGAGGGATAGGTAGCAGCATCTCTCTTAAAACATTTCCACAGCTTAACTGCGGTTGCCAATCCGCCCGCCAAGCATGGCAACTACTGGCAAAATTCCCCAAGCTTATGTCCAACAGTAGATAGTTAAAGACCGATATGATAAGGTTGATTTCCCACGTACAAACATCGTTTAGTTACAAGTTTATTATAATAGTAACATAATAAACATATGATTTTACACACGACTCCGTCTTTAATTGAATGGATTAATGAGTAACTACATTACACGACGTTAGAAATTTAGGCGCCAAGAAGTAGCAAATGAACAAATCTACTACCATATTTATAATATTAATAAAGATAGTAGGATAAATAACATGCAATCTTGTAAAAAATTCTATCACATTTGTTACCCAACCATTCTTAATCAGCAAGGTGGATTTTACTAAAGTCCGTTGCAACCAAATCTAGAATTGAACTTTAATCACACACGAGCCCAGAAACTTTATTCAAAAGTCGATTGCTTTGGTACCTCTGTCCCATTCGTGTTTCAACCGCGAAGCAGTTGTGTTTGCATGGCTGTGTTTCGGTTGGAAGGGTGGGATATGGCGTGAATTTACAGGGTACAGAAGAATAACATCTGAGTCCTCAGGAATGACAACGCATGGGGGGTATCATGGGCGAAACAGTATACTCTGTTATGTCCATGGTACTGCTCATGTCTATAGGCGACGGTTACCACTTTAAATCAGGTGGGCCGTCAGCTTGTTTGCCATTCTAAGTTGTATAAAAAAAAAGTGCCCCTCTAAAGTACTCTACTGATCGGAAAGTATATATGCCACGTTATTAAATGTATCGGCATGAATTTGAACAATCAATGTATTCATATTTAACAATCGGTCGTTAACAAATAATGAAAAAGTGTAATTGTGTATAGGAAATTTCTTTATTTGCTTATTGTAAATAAATATATAATTAGTTTTATTAACAGTCGACCTTTAATAGGCACTATCGCTAAGAAAACACACAATGATCAGTCTGTGTACTTTATTATTTGTTTTTCTTTGTAACTTGTTGTTTTCTTTTAATTCAAATGTGAATGTACAATAAAGATTATAATATTTTTTTATATCTGTTACGTCAAAATTCCGTCAGTTTTAAACCGATTTGGAAAATTATTTTTTTAACTGAAAGGATATATTTACATATTGGTTTCATAGAAATTTTATCAAAATCGACTTAGCAGTTTAATTTTTAGATCAAAGTAACTAGTTTTGTCACAATTGAAGTCGATTTTTTGGGGTTCCATCTTTAATTATGTATAACTGAGGTGCACACACGAAAACAAGAAAAAAATATGTTGCTTTTATTTATATATTTCCCCTTTTTATATCTTTTTATGCACGTCAATCTGTGTCTGTTATTATTTGTGCGCTGTAAGTGATGCGAATAAGTTATACATCTATTTAGATATCTAATTAAAAGATACTGTATTGTTAAGTTTTCAAGGATATATGTTGGTGCCAAAAAAGAAACATTATTTGGCAAGCAAGTCTGATAGCAAACAAAACAAGTTACTTACAGCCCACAGAAGTCGTAGAATCTACATTATGGTATTGTTTTCACGAGTAGGTACTTGTTTACATCATATTTTATTAACAGCAGTTTAATTTTTAAATAAGGATAACGTAATTTGTTATTTAAAAAGTTGTTATTAATTATTTATTTGATTGGAAAATAGATATTATTGAAATTCTACTAGTTTTCTTATATGAACTGTAAACTGCTGGAAAAACAACTCAATTTCAGATCAGTAAGAGCGGTTTACAAGATTTTGTTAATAATTTCCAGTACCACATTAAAATAAGGATAACAAAATATAAGTGTTGAGCATTCAATTAGATGTGTTTAAAGGAAACTGTGACCACAATCAACTTGAAATGATCCTACAGAAGTACACCTTGCTATTTAAGATACAGGCTTTCATCTTAAAGGACATAATCCTCTGTCCCTTTCACGCTCGGAAAACATTGTCACAGACAAAATTAGATATAATTGTTTCTCTCGAGAACACGGCGGTGGTACAAGCAGAGCTGGCGGGTTGTTGCCAAGCTGCGGCCTACGGTTTACCGCGGCCAGTCTTCCGAACTATATAAGGCCACATTTGTTGATTCGAGATAAGCTTTGTTTATTTTATTCCAGCGATTACTTCGTACAGAGTTTTCTACAGTTTTAGGGAAGTATTATATGATAGACGACATATTTTTTTTGTGTTTATTATATATAATTTGGTCAAGATCCACGTATAAATCCGGTCTGTCACAAAGCACACGAAGGATTCCAGATCGGCGAGTACACACGAAAGTACCGTGGGCGGCACTTACTTTTTCCTTTAACGAACTCGGAGTGTTTGTGGCGTGTGGCTACGTGGTGTAGACGGTGTCCGCGGCCCGCGGCCGCGTCGAGGATTCCGACCGCGCTGAGGACAAGGCACCACAACAAGGCACGCGCAGTCATGCTGCGACATCACTCGCGACGTTGCACGACACACGACCGACCGACGCGAACTTCCATCGTGTACTGGCCTGCCCGGTTTGAGAGCCCCGCGAGGCTCTCAACTGCGCGGGCGCAACCATAGCGTTAAGGGTGGTCAGATGCGGCAGGCTGTCACGTTTGGGCGGGAAATGTGTAGGCGCCAAATTACAATATTAAATACATAGCCATATTTAAATATATTAACCTATTAAAAGTGAATATAAACACAATATATCTTGTAATATAATATAAGAAAAAATGTTGTACAATATTTCGTAAAAGATTAGTTTCATCTATTGAGATCAAATTTCGTTTTCAGCTTAAAACTTATTCTAATCATATTTTGGACTAACTATAACAGGTACGTATTTTTTATTTTTGTTTTAATCGACATATTAACTAAAGGAAAAGAATCTCGAACATTATTGTGTATAAACAAGTACTATACTTGTAATAAGTAAATATATATAAAGTAATCTAGAAGCTTCTGTTACTACACAAGATCATTGCTACACGTATGTTACGTGTAGCAATAATATTTCTGCATATCAAACATTGAAAATAATCATATAGGCGCGTGCTTCTACATAGGGTGCGAACCCGAAGCTATTAATATGTTTATAAGAGAGAGAGAGAGAAAGAGAGAGAGATTTTTACAAGTGTCACTAAAAATTTTTACTAAAAAAAAATTGATCAAAGATAAAATCAGTAAAGATTGGGGATTCTAACTTTCATACTGACTTTACGATAAACTTTTACAAAAAAAATTTTTTGATGTTTATCTTTAAGAAAAAAATCCACTGACCCTAGACTCTCTAAAAATTACAGTTTATTTAGATTTTACCATGCACATTACAATAGTCTCAATACGAATATAAACTCAATAGTTCATATCTATACATAGCTAAGTCTATGGGTGGCTCTGTTCTCTCACGAGCACAGGTAAACGCCGCGAAGGTACTACAGGTACGGCGATACGCCGTCGGAAAAAAGCCACGTAACAAAAGTTTAATAACAACGTATTGTACTTCTAGCGATACAAATAATTGAACTACGGCACTGGACCTAAGGATTTTTTGTCGATTATGCCTTTTGTAGTGATCTGATTAATAGATGCCTGCAATTAATATCGTGGTAGGTTGATGATAAGACATATTTCTAACACGGTACGTGATTGTAAGCGGCTAATGGCAGATCGTATTAAATTTTAGACAGATACAAGTTTATTGCAGTTGGTTATCTTTATAAAAGGAGTTTATTCAAGATATCACTCATGAAAGATTAATTTGGGGTTCACATGACAAATTTATGAATCATATTTTTGTAATAAATTTTTATTTATATATTTTTATTTTAAGCTGAAATTGAATATAAATTGACAAAAGGACTAAATTGAGGATAAGTTGAATAAATTTATAGCAGGGGGTGATGAATAGCTGAACTGATGATGGTGATGTAAAATAAATCTGCATGTTATTAACTAACTAAAATTAGAAAATATCATAAATTTAAACAAAAAACTTAACTTACTAAAATTCCATGATGTTTTGAAATATCAATGCATAAGGTATACCGCAAGCATTACCAGTGTATTCATAAATATTTATTTATTTTATTACAGATAGTACATAAAAATATGATACAGGTAACTAACTGTACAAAGGCGAGCTTAACTCTAAAAGAGTTCTCTTTCAGCAAACCCAAAGTGGAAAGGAGCATCAATGTCTTGTCAATGTCATTGGGTGTAAAATAATGTAACAATTAGCAAACAAAAAAAGAACAAGACTTAAGTTTATATCCATGTGGTTGTTTATGAAAATGGATGTAAGAATAAAAGGTCCTTGGTACTCAATTCTCTCTGCATACCCTTCAAGGGACTTGGCGTACCACACCACAATATATGAGTAGATTGTATTTTCTAGAAGAGGGAATCCAAGAAGATAGATATATACATATGTTGTAAATTATTATCTCTTAAGAAGAGGCCTCTGTTTACCAGTAAGACGCTAATGGGTTACAGTGATAATAATGATAATAATATATTATTAATATTATAATAATATGTACACATAATTAAGAATGGTCGTAAGTTGAACGATGAGCGCGCTAGTATCCAATAAACTAACGGTCGTTGGTTTTATTGAACTATTGGAATTCTCCTACAAATATTCAACGTCTCACCTTACCAACCGAATGTTTTCAATAAAAATAAACGGTAAAAATTAAGAAGTTATATGAAAATTTACATTTATAATTAAAAATGTATATATTACGTATAAAAATGTATATATTATGTATAAAAATGTTATCCTGGCAATTATAAACCGGTAATTTGTTCGTTAGTATTTTTTTTATACAACTTGAAATGACAAATAAGTCGACGGCGTACTTGGCGAAGTGTTAATAGTGATTTTGGCTAATAGAAATGGCAGTAGAAATGAATAGCATCATGGTTGTCACAGAACATACTGTGAAACCTCTCATTCGTTGCGATTCCCGAGGGCTTAAGAGTTATGCTTCCATACTTAGAAATTTCATTATCATTTCCTATCTAAAAGTTGAAGCATCCATATACAACAAGCTTGGTGGTAGAGCCACAGATTTCTATGCAGATGATTGTTTTCGAAATCTCCCTGTGGTATGTGTATTTTACGTATAATACATAATAATAACTTCAATCCTTATTACCATACGAATAAATGAATAAAATTAATTATTTGATACATTAACTTAAAATTTTGTATGAAAAAGGAGTACATATTATTTTTTATTTCGGTAATTTAGAAAAAGTAATGTGTTTATATAATCTGTACTATATTATAAAGGGAAAAATCTTAATTGACTGGCTCATCAATTCATAACAATACTACTAAAATTAGAATTAACAAATTAGATTACGGATTAGAAGCCTAAAAAATAATTCTGCCATTTTAATATCGAACTCCGTATATGCGCCTGAACATTATTTAAGAGCACAACATCGCGACTTAAATAAATCAAACACCTTACAGACATGGCTTAAATTATTTTATATTTATTGAAATATTGAATAAAATAATTAATAACATCATATCAGTAAAAACCAAATCAATCTTATAACTAATAGTGTTTATTATATATAAGATGACATTATAACCCCCTTATTCATACAAATGTCAAATCTCTCATAACCCATTTTAGCTATTGAACCGTTTTGTCTTTCTTTTTTGGTGCTAAATTTCTATTTTGAAAGAAAGTGAGAAAACAGTGTAATAGTTGAAATAGGTTTGTAGACATTTTAGTTTTTTATGAATAAGGATTTCATTTAATCACTCTTCAGATATTTCTGAATCTCTTTTATCTTTCTTATGTTCTAATATTTTCCTCTCACCGCTGCACAGCGTTTTTTTTTAACAATTTGCTCAATAGCAATTCATAAGTAGACTTACTTCATTGTACTGATGATGAGTTTCACAGAATTCATCATCATGGCGCCAGAGTTCATCTCTGGTGTTAATTAATTAATAAAAAATGTATTGTGCACTAGATGACCTAGTGAACTATGGATCACCTATAACGCCATCTATTAAAATTATTTAAAAACAAGTATTCAAATCAATCAAGCCGTTTTTGTATTTGATGTAAAATAATTAGTATAAGACTTTGTTGTGCGAATTGGTACAAGCAGTAATGCATAACAGTATGATTTATTTTTAATAAATAATTAAAAAAAAGTATGAAGTACACAGAAATATCTTGATGGACTGATTCATCAACGTACAACCTAAACTAAAGTGGAAGTTTGTATGAGAAATTATATTTTTTTTTTGCCTATCGTCTTGAAAATAATCATACATCTCTTTTATAAATATAATGAAACCTAATTTGAGTATTTGTCTTAAAACATCCCCAAATTGTCTTTAATTAAGGATAATGTCGTATTTCAACTCATGATTCTTTGGTAAGAATGTTAATTTTTGCCGTTAAAACACTCTTTTTGTAGGATACTAACGGATTTGACTTCACTCTGTTATTACTGTCTATTATGTGTTTAAGGTTTTATATGTAAGGGGGGGGGGCAAACTACATTTTACTTCTTACTTTATCTTACGAGTACTGGTATTGTAAATGCAAAAATTTGTGAGGATTTAAATGAACAAACGGATAAATTAGATCCTAACTTAACGCATATAATAATTTATATATTGATGTACAAGCAAAGCCGCGGGGAATAGCTAGTGATATAAAAAAATAATAAATATATACTACTAAACGGTTTCATTACGAAAACCTGATTATAATAAATACTATAGTCATTTTAAATTTTTAAATTCAAAGTGAGGGTAGTTTAATATTTTACAAATATTATTCTACCTTCTAAATATAAATAGCAAATGGAACGGTTAGAATGGCATTGAAAATATTTACAAATCGGTCGGCGACCCCAGCAGCGCGGTATGTCAAAGCGCTGCCTTAAAAAATGGGGTTCCGGGTTCGATTCCCGGGCGGGTCACTTTACGAACCGCACTTTCGTAAAGTGGCCCGGGTCTACGGTGTGTTATTCTGGGAACGGGGCACCCTGGAATAATACACAAAGAGGCTGGTTTCATAAATATTGTCATAGATATGTAAGTTAGATATGTAAGTTAGATTTAAGTCATAATGTGATATACACAAATGGAGGCTGGTTTCATAAATACTGTCTTAGATATGTAAGTTAGATTATAAGTTATAATGGTGGTGGGTTTTTTGTGTTCGTCCTTTTTGTTTTTTTTTTTTTTAATAAGCAATATCAATTTTTTCAATTGTACGCTTTTGTCCAAATATTCTTTGTATATATTTAATAAGACATAATTTATTATAATTTTTTTATTTTTTAATAAAACCAATAAAGTTTTTTGTGTTGAAAGTTATTTTTACTCGTAAACTAAATATTTATTTAGCTTTATGAATAATAAAATGTACAAATGAAATTCAAATCGTGATAGCCCACTAGTAGATATTTTTTTAAATTTAGAATACCCCTTCTGGACTACCTAAATTACATATCACGTAAATCAGTAACAAAATTTAGGTA